CGAGCAGACGGGTCACCTACCGCCCATGAACGTCTGCAACTATATTTCTGAATTTTGAGGCTAAAAACACGTCAGGATCGTCTTCCTAGCCTTTGCCCATTTTAATTTGCAGTCGGCGCATGTAAATGACTTAGGTTGATTTTAATATGGCCGACCACCTGTTTGAGGCATGCTTTGGGAATATAGTAGACTTTACACGTTGGTAAAGGAAGATAGTAAATTTGGGAAAGGAAAATAATTAGGGCGAGGAACCTAGGGGTAAAGGGATACGGAACTGATACCGCCAATAGTTGTAGTTCCAGTGCTGCCGGGATTGAGTTTCAGTATGTCGCCTGGTTATTTGGACTTAGGCGCTAGCACAGACACATTACTGACAAATTTTGATGCTAGTAAAATAGCTATGCGTATTAGTGTATTATAAACTCCAGTGAATATTGAGCTGAATTAGATTGACATCACAAAATTTGATAAGTGTAATGTCAGTCAAGTCCAGGTGTACTTCAGCTATAGTAGATTTATAGGCAGGGTTTCGCAACGTAATGTCCATATTCAAAGATTTCAAAAAGTTCAATTTAATTCGACGTTTTGTAGTGGTCAAAAGCACATTAGAAGATCCGTTACATACATAAATACCAAGCCTAATAAAGCGTGTTATAAAAAAAGGAACAGTGCACTGCAGCGATTGGTGGACGTACCACAGCTTTTGTCGTATGCTATTGCTATGAAAGATTTTGCAGGTGGACTGAGTAAGCGCGTTGAGTAACTTCTTTAATTGCCTTTAAGTGTTATTTTGATTTTAAATAAAAATTTACCTGCTATCTTACTCAAATTCTTCTTAATAATTAAAATTGACAACAGGTTTTTGGTACAATAGGTTGTTTTTTACAAATCGGTAATATGAGAATATATTTTCAAAGGACATACTTAAACGAACTTCAGGTCGGAGAAAAATAAAAGCTACGTCACTGTTATCTAAATAAAAATATGGTTCTTCCTTGACTTGATTTTCATCTTTAAAAGTTCCTTGGCAACATATTTATAGATTCTTATGATATCTCTAATATATTGGGTAGGTGTTGTGTTTGTGTTTCTTACAAAGTTCGAGTAAATTAATACACTACTTTATAACATTTTAGTAATTAGATTCTATTACACTTTATGATTTATGGGTAAAAATTATAGCAAATAATAATGTATTTGTGTTTAATTTTCTACATTATTATTGCACATTGGCTTTAACTTACTTAATGCTGAGAGCAGGCCACACCATTCACACCATTGGACCCAACTTAAATAGAATCAAAGGTGCCCACTTTGTTAGTCGTCATGCTAACGCAATCGTATTTAAGCGCATTCGGATGGGGTTAATATTCAATATACAGAACTTTTTAACATCACAGGGCTTTCTTCCATTATAACCTAATTATAAATTTTTGAGTGTGTGTTTCGTTTAAAAACTTGAAAGAAAAAATAGAATTTTGTTTTTTCTCGATAGCTCGACGTTTACAAATTTTTTTAACATAACAACAGTTAACATTTCTTACTACTGTTAACTTGAAAAATATAATAAGTAAATCAATAATGATGCCCTTACCAAGAAACAGTATTGTGTTGTGACATCGATTTTTCACGACTACAGGTAATTCAAATTGAAACACAAAAATCATGCGAATAAAAGTATTTTAATTATTTTTCTTCATAACTAACTCATATAAAAAACGTCTACATTTGTAACAAAGAGTTTTCGCTGCGTATGGTGTATCGAACTCCTTGTTTTTTTTGTACTTACACAGTATACACAATGGAGATATGTCAACTATTTAAATTCTGTAAAAAAATATTTTTAGGTGTGTAATTAAGTGATTCGTAGTTTTCAAATTGTTCCATAAACCTGGGTGGCACGTTCAACCGCACGAGATCTTTGACTTAAGTATATATATTATAGGTAATAATAATATCTTAAATTTTGATGATTGGTGTTTGTTTTTTTTTCCCACACTTTTTGCTCTTTTTTTTTCTTTGCCAATCTGTGACTTAGGTTTCACTACTACAAACACCAACCAACCAAGGTCATAAGTTGCTTTTCCTGTATTATGTTATGCTAATTAATTGTGTCTTATGAAAATAAAAATGTTAATGGTTTGTGGTTTTTCGTCTTTATAGATTCGAACATGGGACAAAACTCAGGCGATTATTGAAATCCGAAGAGGGTTTGGGCATAGAATATGATGAAAACGTAATTTGCGATGTTTGTCGGTCTCCCGATTCTGAAGATGGCAATGAATGGTATTTTGCGACCTCGTGCAATATTGTGTGCACCAAGCCTGTTACGGAAATTACCCGATATCCCCTGACGTAGTTTGCCACGTATTAAGTTATTTAAAGGTTAATTGGACAGGTTATTTTTTGTTGATAATAAATGAATTTGTCCTTCAAATGCCTTTCATTTCTTAATCACTTCACATATCCTAGCACATGAGGACTTATTACGGAAGTTATTTTGTTTGAAACCTCAACAACAGCAATGTAGGTATTCAATTTGTATTTTTTTTAGATGTTTGTGTATTTTCAAGGCCTTACGTGACGCGAACTTTGGTTCCTTGACTCTTTGGATAGTCCAATTATTGGTTGGTTAATCAGAGAGGCTATACAACGGGTTCCTAGCTTTCTAGGCAAGCTTTTTTAACATTTACAAACTGTCAAATGAATCTGTTTTCAACCATGCTGTCACAGAATTGACATTTTGTATTTTGTACCGAGACCCTCTCTTATAAACCCGCGGTTAAAAGTTATGAAAATATATGTATTTTGAAAAAGTGGAATTATTCAAAAAGCAAAGAGAATTTGAATAGTGCCAAAGATAGCATTATAGCCATTGTTCTCTTATAATACATAAATAACAATGTTCCATGAATATAATCAAGTAGCAGATATGCAAATATGCAGTCTCTAATTGTAAGTTGATGTATAAATATACAATAGGGTAGTTGTATCATTCCTGGATAAGACTTCAAAATAAACCCAAATCTACAACGCAATTCCAGCCTCTACAAATCATAACTTTACTTTTTATTAAATATGATCTAATTATTTGCTGTAAGCTGTTATTGATTTGGTTTTGGATTGATACCTCTACTTTATTTTATTTTCAGATCGTAGCGTTTACAGATCAGTACCTGTAAACTAAAAAAAATTTTTAATCCTTTTCTGTTCACTAGGTCAATGGTTATGCCGGCCATGTGGGGACGGTTCAGAACCTACGGTGCCTATGCTCCCACCATGGGGTCGCCATGAAATGTAACGCCTTTCCGGTCACAAGTGGGCCCACGTTAGTTGTGTGCTATGATTCCCGAAGTGTCGATAGGTTGCGCAAGATTATTGACCTATTACTAAAAATCTCGTCCATTCCCCCCTCGCGTTGGTCCCTTGGTGTGTGTTCTTTGGGTCGCAATTCACGCAAAGGTCGCTTGCATTCAATGTTCGGTAAAGCACTTGTAAAACAAGCTAATCACGTTACGTGTGCGTTTAAACATGGACCTTGAAATGCGCGCATCATTGAAGATGACAACGCCGAGGATGGCGTAAAAGTTACGATCGTATTGTCCTAAACATAGTGTCAATCAAAGAAGAAAGTGTGCGGGCTCAGGCTCGCTGAAGAGGATGGGAAGAAGGAAGCGCAGAAAGACCATGACGTCGAGGGACGACGCAAGCGCGTGCCGCTTCGCTTGCAATAAATAGTAGAGGGATTTCGACAGACATTCATTGTCAAGGATATCATACGCATCTCCTATGACGTATGATCAAATGCTATTAATTTAATATCATTACAACTATTGGATGCAAAGACGGAGGCGGGGCATAAATCCGTCCCTTGTTGCCTCCCAAGAAGTCTGACGACACAGGAGTTGTTGACTCATCGACAGGAGTCAAGCGACCTAGAAAGATGAAGATGTTCGTAGTGCAGGCTTCGGCAGACCTCGGAGAGTTCGCTCTAAGCCTGTGTTAATGGTGCAGCAGTAAGGAGAACCAATCTCTCCAGCTCCATTTGATGGCTACTAGAGTGTATGAATAGGTAGAAACAAACTAGTTTCACACAGGGGGCTCGCGTATGGTTATTATTATCGATGAGCGTGCGGATTGCGCCGCACTGGTGCGCATGGAAGTCGCAGTAGATGGTGCGTGCGCCACTGGATCATTAGTGTAATGTGGATCTTAGGAGTCATGGACCTTCAATTATACGGGATAGGGGTATCTCATTACTCTCCGTCCTGAAACGAGTGGTACCCCATGAAATCATTAATAATGGATTTTGAAGACATCTGCTCCGCTCGCATTGTTGCCACCACAGAATTCTGGTGACGAAAAGAAGTAAAAATCGCAATGGTCTAGTGAAAAGGCTCGAAGACAGCAAAATCCATATAAGAAACATTTACAGTTTAATGGGTTCTCGCGTAGTGCAAGCATGTATAGTGGTTGTCCTGAGGAGAGTGCGCCTACGAGATATCTCCGGTCCTAGTCGATTCCGAAACAAACTATTCCATCTGAGCACTGATGATCGAAGGAAGAAAGCTGGGGCCTCACCCAAGAGAAAAGATTCACCTTAAGGCAACGAGGTTAATAGATCGCCTAAAAGCCTGAAAGGAAAAGGAAGAAAGCGCCTCAGTCTAAAGCGCGTTAGTCGAAAGCAGCAGTGAAGATCTTGAAGCTTTAAAATCTAAGATGAAATCAAGGTCGTTCCGCAGTAGACATTGCAGCAGGATGGAGAAGAGATGACTGCTGCAGGTGTCAAACTTCATTCAGTACAGATAGCGACGATCCTTGCCAATCAGATTCCACGAGAAACAACAAGTTTCCCATCGATTTTACTCGGACAGCGTTGTGAGGACAGGAGGGATTTTGTATGTCAGAGGGCAAGTGACGGCTAGAGTGGAGGATATAAGTGTAATGAGAGTCAAGACCGACAAGGATATAAGACGTTCTGACAGATCTAAAACCAGAAGATGGCCCTCTGCTGGGCACGATTCTCACATCGCTCCCTAGAACTGAAGGCGGCCAGTGTGATAGAATTCAGGGTGCTCTATGCGAGTCCTCAAGTACGTACAGGGAAGACGGAACTCGGTACTGGGAAGTACCAGATGGCAGGAAGAAAACTGCTCCTAAAGGAAGCGTGTATGTATTGAGGAGTAGATGCAGCACGTGTGGGGCCGTAACGGAAATAGAAGATCAAATAAATTAGGTGAGCCCAGTGAAATCCGCTAAAGCACCTGAGTCGGACGATGAAGCTAAGAATAAAGAAAAACATAGAAATTCTCTAAACAAAAGGATCACCCTACTGATCTTATTGTCCCACAGCGACAGGCTGCTAAAAAAGCGTCTGAAAATATGCGTTCGATCTACTGTTGCCCAAAAAGGGACGAACAGAACTCTGTTACTGATAAACAAACCAGCGGAGACGACACTAAGGCTAAAACTCCTGTCAAAAGTAGCAGCAAACCGCCTGGCAAAGGTAAAGAAATGAAAGAGGGCCACGGCAAGATTAGTAGGAAAAAGTCGAAAGAATTGGAGAAAGAACCCATCGCATATGTACCTCAGAGACAAGCTGCTAAGAAAGCGGCTGCACATATTAAGAGTGGGCTGGGTACTAAGTTACCAGCTACTGAGATGGATGAGAAAAAGAAAGACGATCAAATCGATCCAATTAAGTCCTCCGCCCATGAAGAAGGATGACTTGAAAAGCTCTAAAGCTTTGCAGAATGAGAGCTCGAAGTTCATCTTCTGGATCAAGCAGGTAGCAGTTATTCTTCGTCCTCTAGTTCGGAGGAGGAGCCTGAGAAGTCTAACTTGAAGCCAACCGCTAAAGCACCCGAGATCAAGATTGCCATAACAATTCGGCAGCCATCAATGTTTTCGCCTCCGGCTCTAGACCGACTGTTGACTTGCCCTTTCTCGACAAGGTGTCAAGACCGCTGTCTTCGACTAGTGCCTCGAGTGATTCTGACAGCTCTAAAGGAGTCAGATAGATCAAGATCCAGGTAGTCCCTACCCGAATACGACCGACGACGCCGGCGAAAGGTTAAGAGCATCTCCGTGGATGCGTTCCCCTCGTCAAGCCCCAGACCCAGAAGCTTTGACAACTTCCGAACGTCGTGTCCGAGTGTCAGGGTATCGCCGACTCGTGAAGGAGAGGAACCTAGCCGACCCACGCATTGCGCGTGCTTGCCAGACGCGTGCGTCGGACAGAAGCTGTTACTTGCAGGAGGAAATATGCCTAATAAGTCCTGATGTCCCGATATAGAAACCAACTAAAAGACGACCTCCAGTATTGCCATTGGAACTCAATAAAACTCCGAAAGAGAGCAAGCCAGCCCAGTGAACTTCCAGCTGCGGAGCGGAAAACGGAGCGAGAAACTAAATCAAAGAATCCTGTTCAGTAATTGAGTGGCCCAAGAGCGATAACAACGATATAAAACCCAAAGCCAGCTAAGCGTGCTAGCGGGTCTGCCTGAGGACAAGGAGAAGTCTTTAAGCAATCATATCTCTCATCTCCCACTCTGAAAAAAGTTATGTCCGTATAGAAAAAGTGCACTGAGGTAAACACAAATCATTGCCAAATAAGGGCGTATGAGTGTCAAGGAACCAGCTCCTAAAGAACGACCCGATTGTTATGGACGTACGGAGCTTATAGTCAAGAAAGATCGCATGCTAGGAGCAAGCTTTGAAAACTCATAATAGAGTGCTATATTCGAAAATAAAACCTATTCGGTTCACCAATTCACGAAGCGCAAGGAATCTCTGCATTGTGTAAAATACGGTAGATGGAAGACTGAAAGATGACAAATAGATGAACATATATGAAAAAGATAAATTTTTGCTGAAAAAGTGGTGTCAAATATATGGAACGAAGATAAATGAGTGAACAGGATGTAAAAGATAGAAAAAGAGGAAAAGATGAAAAAGAAAGAAATAGATTGAAAGAAGTAGGAAATGCTTGAAAAAGAGGAAAAAGATGAACAAGAGTGAAATGATGAAAAGGTGAAAAGGGATGAAAAAGATGAAAAGATGAAGAGAGATGAAAAAGATTGAAATAGACAAAAAGGATGAAAAAAGTCCGATTATGACTAATTGCAACTATCATGGCATGATAAATCAGTTGCGTACCAAAGGCCTCCAAGTCCTATTGCGTTAATCCACCGACAGGCGCACGTGTGTGGTGGGGGGGAAAACCTGGGGCGGCAACGAGAAAATATGTCTGACCGGACAAATCGATATTGGAGTTCGGGGAATTATACTGTATGAAGACATAGTATCGTCAGAATCATTGCTAAGTTTAAAGCGAGCCATGCTATGATCTCAGAATGTGTAATAATCCTTATCAAATCACCTAAGACCCGATGGATGCCCGTACTATAAAGTATCGAACATTATGGAGGCGATGGGATTCCGTAGATATACCAGTACAGATAAAGTGCGCCCTGGAGGAGAAGAAGTTCATAATGGAGGCGGTGAACAGATATGACTAGCCACGTGCAGTAGAGTTGAGATGCTCGAAAGTGTGCCAAAATACATTACAGTCCGTGACGAATCCATATCAAAATAGAAATGTTCTCACCGCAATCAAAAGACCACGGAGAGCTCTTCGACTTTGAGCTAATTGGGGCCGTCGACGACGGTATGATCAACCAGTGAAGTGACAGTTATTAAACCTTTTTGGGCTACTTATCAACCCTGAGTTCGTTTTCAAAGTAGGATTCTGAGAAACAAGGAGTGTGTACAGTGGAGACTCTGAAGACCTTAGTGAGCAGGACTGTGGGAATGCAACTGAGCACTAAGAAAGTGCCCGTTGAGAATTCGCGAGGACGAGCGCGATTCGGTTGGAGAGATTAAATGTACGGAGGTGGGGGGAGTGTTCAAGAATAAGAAGACGATAGATATGTTAGAAGATGACACGATGTGAAGAGTGTACGCCATAAGGAGGTCCTATACCAGCAGACCAAGTTAGCCTGTCTCCGTGGTCCGAAACCGCCTCTGGCACGAATCTAATCATTCACCACCAAACGATATGGCGTCAAGCAACTGTCCCACCCTTTTTTTTATGCCTCGAGTCAATTAGAGACACCAGATTAGTGTGTAGGTATACACTTTATCATATTGATACAAAGTTTACCATTCATCCCTACTAAGCGCATGCTAGAGTACTGAAAGTGGGCGAATGTTGCCCGAGTCACACGTGACTATCCAGAGCGACGCCGACGATGCCAAAGACACCCGATGAGTTACTATACAGGTTGGATGGGACTCGAATCCGTGTTGTCTCGTGGGATAGTGCCGAGCCCAATATCGGCTCTCTAAACCAGAAGCGTGTGTATCGGTACTCCTCAGTCTCACCTCTCAGTGGTCGATCACTCCGTACAAGGTGACAATGATCATGGAATTAACTTTAGACACTCAGAACTATGACAATACGACCCTCATGATACACCAGACTGTTCAACTATTTCTGTCTACCTATGTCAGTCAAGAGAATGGCGGTAGAGTGCAGATAACGACTCGTCCGCTCAATCTGCATCTACACAACTTCTGAAGTCCTATTTGCTCTCAAAAGACCCCTCGAAAATTATCGTTTGAACACAATTGATTACACGTCCAGGTAATGTATTGCGCGAAGGAAATAGATTCGTAATCCACTTACCTTGTCCTTTTTCACGACCTGTGGTAAAGCCGTCGATGCCTTGATCGGTATGCACGAGGGGTACCCCGGATGCGTTAGTCAACCGTTCTGAGTATGGTCCGAGCTAACGAGACCGTTTATTCGCAGGGCCATGTGTTGCCCTCTCCACTAGTTTCAATTACATCGCCCAGGAACGTACCTCTGTGAGGAGTGTACGCTTACACAGGCACAAGTCGTTTGCCGACGAACCCCTTTCCCGTTTTCATTTACAACTTCCTACAACAAAACCTCGCTTCTCGACTCTACAGCTATGATCGCTCCCCCTAGCGCCTAACCGATGGACTCCCCTCAAGATGAAACATGGATCGGTCACCGGGAGCGACAAGTTCTCCATACCGTGAGTGTGCCGCATCTAGCCCGAGCATAGCGTTCGAGTCATTAGATAACAGCAGCAGAGCGGGCCAACATGAAGCGTGTGATGTGTCCAATAGCATGACAGCATGAGACTATGTCGAGTTTACCTCCACAAATAATCCGAAATCACACCGTGTGCCAATAAGATGAGTAAACCCCGTGACTACACGTGAAGTTCCCTTGTAATCTCGCTGGTAAGAGCCCCGCATATCACCGAAGCGAGCGATGTTCCTAAAGGCACCAAACGCCCTAGCAATAGGAGTACAAAGCCAAGAGGTCGAGTGGCGGTTCTAGAGAGCCCCGCGTGGTCATAATTTCCCTGCGGTGGACTACCTAGGATAACTCTCACATAACGTTGAGCAAGCTATGTTCGGCAACAGTTTATGACTTCAATGAGATGTTTGCCTAACGATGGTGTTGATTAAAAGCTGCTCCGTGATAAAACGCAGATCTATAGATATGAAGACGCGTGGGGAAATCCGAACTATCATCTAGTCTCCTCGCTTCATAGTACAAGGGAGACAGACCGTCGACGGGCCGACATCAAAGATAGTCAAGGACCACCAAGTATCCTCGACGCCTACTGATCCTAATTCTTCGCCCGTCGATTTAAGGCATCTGTCCAAGGTTCTCTCATGTAGGCCCCCGTATTACCCCGGTCCAGGTCTGATTGCGCACCTATCACAGCCTTTCGAGAATCCATTCCCACAGCCGTGGAGCAGCTTATACTTCTTCCAGTTTAATGGTATTTTGCCAGGGAACTACTGAACAAGGAGACATTAGTGACGTTGTACTACGAGAGGTGGTTGTGTGAGTAAGAGCAGCTCCACTACTTGCCTAATAAGGTCGGGGCCAACCGCCTAATCGATCACCGGCTCACCACGGCGCAGGGGTCGGAATCAACGAACGCAAATGAATCCACCGTTATACCTCAAACAACCCAAAGTTTCACTATCCGATGAGAAGATCAACTCCAAGAAAAAATAGAGGATGGACCCGGTTGTGGTATAGATGCAGTGGATACCAATTATTCCGGCGAGTTGCTCATGTTCAGACCTGGGCGACCAACCGCCGGTCCACACCAGCTCACGATGTCAACGACGGCTAAGGCCGTCTATGTATCTGCGGATGTAAACCAGGATAGTGATCGACGAATCTTGAGACGCATGCGTAAGGAAAGGGAAATATTTTCGTCAGTACCAACTCAAGATATGAATATGGATGAGCCGTCAACCCCAGCAAAGGGTTTGTTCCCGGACCAGCCCAACCCCTTCACCCCTTTCTGTGGGTGGTTATTCGATCCCCAAAAGCAGTTGCCTCTATGGGCATTTTTACCTAACCAGGGGGAAGATTTAAAATGGGGTGTTTCTCCAAATTTAGAAAAGAAAGGGGGCAAAAAGATTGAGGACGTCTCGGGAACTGAGACACCTCCCAAGTTTACATGAACGATGACGTAGATCCCCTCGGGGGTGACGTTAAAAATATCGGGGTATTTCCCCGCACGGGGGGGGGCAAAACAAACGCACAAAAAGGCAGGGCCCGCAACGCCAAGACTGCTGCGGAAACCGGGGATTTGACAAGTAGAGCGAATGCTACTTCACCGGGGTCGGGGACCCGGAAAAACTAAAGATCAAGGTTGGGGGGCTAAAAAACGGGCGGCGGTTTCAGCAAGTCCCGCCGACTGCCCAAATTTTGGGGGAACCCTCCCGGGCCCCTACGATTTCCCTCCCCAACCCCCAGAGGGCCATCTCGCCCCAGCCCGGGCCCTCCTCCGAAGAACCCCGTCTGAAATTTGCAGCCGCCCCCCCCGAAAAACGCACCATTCCCCCCCCCAAGCCTTGGAGGATCTGCGTTTTGCGGGGAGTTTTTGGAAAATACCGGGCGGGTGTCATGGCGTTTTTGAAAGACGACGAGGAGAAAAAGGGCAAGAAGGTGAAGCTCAAAAAGTGAAAAAAAGCAAAAAGAAGGGAAAAACAAAAAAGCCCGATAAGTTACAAGTGGGTTTAAAAGGGGAAAGTGGAAAAATGCTACAAAAATTAAAATAAAAAATTTAAAAGAAATTTTTGATGTCTCGGGGAGTCGATCGGGGACCGGGGTCGACACTGGGGCGGTCAACCGGAGCCCCCCCTTTTGGCCCGTTTAGGGGTTTCGATCCGGTTTGGCGCCGGGGGTCCACTCGCAATCGGGGGGGGCCCGCCTTCGTCGAGCCCCGTCGGCGAGTTTCGCAAGGTCCGCCCCGGACAAATGGGCCGGCCTATTTTGTTTAAAAAAAATTTCACGCAGGGCCCCCGAGGGCTCCGGCTACGCATGAAAAAGTCACGAAAAAGGCGTCCACCCGATGCCCGGAATCGGTTTCACAGGTCCTCCACGTCTCCCCTAAACACGGGGGTAGGTGAAAAGTTGCCAAAAAAACGCTAAGGGAAAACCCCAAAGCTTACAACTGTTTACTTGGGCGAAGGGCAAGGGTAAAAAGGGAAAAGGGAAAAGGGGAAAGGGGAGAAAGCGCCCGCGTAGGCGACCCATGGGGGCATAGCAGGGAATCCCGGGCAATTAAATGAACAGGGGCTAAATGTTAAATTTTTATTTTATAGGGTTTAAACTAAATTTTCCTTTTTTCTGTATTTTTAAAAATTTAATATTTATTTCCCATGTTTTTGTATAAAAAACTCAATGGTTTAAATTTAAAATTACTCTAAGGTTAGGGGGTTTTTTGCGACATTGCCCGGAAAAATTTTAAAGGGGGGGGGAAAAAAAAAAACCCAAAAAATTAAAAAGGCCCGGGGGGAAAAGGCGGGGGGGGCCCGGGAAAGGGGGGGAAAATGAAGGGGGGGAAAAAAAAAAACCCCTTTCCAAAAAAAGGGGGGGGGGGCCCCCCCCCCCCGGGGGGGGGGGGAAAAAGGCCCCTTTTGGGAAAAAACCCCCCCCCCCTTTGGCCCTTTGAAAACCCGGGGGGCCCCCCCCCGGGCCCCCGGGGGGGGCCCCCCCCGGGGGAAAACCCCCGGGGAAAACCCCAAAATTTTAAAAAAAAAAAGGGGAAATTTTTGGGGAAAAAGGGGGGGGGGGAAAAAAAGGGAAGGGAAAAGGGCCCCTCCCCCCCCCGGGGGGGGGGGGGGGGAAAAAATTAAAAAACAAAAAAATTTTTTTGGGGGGAAGGGTTAAAGGGGGGGGGGGGGGGGAAAAAAAAATTTTTTTTTTAAAAAAAAAAAAAAGGTTAAAATTTTGGGGTTTTTTCTTTTCCAAAAAAAAAAAAAATTTTTTTTTTTAAAAAAAAATTTTTTTTTTTTTTTTTTTTTTTTTTTTTTTTTTTTTTTAAAAAAAAAAAAATTTTTTTTTTTTTAAATTAAAAAAAAAATTTTTTTTTGGGAAAAAAATTTTTTTTTTTTAAAAAAAAAATTTTTTTTTTTTAATTTAAAAAAAATTTTTTGGGGGTTCCTTTTAAAAAAAAAGGGGGCCGCCCCCCGGGGACCCCCCCCCCCGGCCTGAAATTCCCCCAAAACCCCCAATTGGAAACCCCCCCAAAAACCCCAAATTTCCCCCCTTTTAAAAAAAACCCCAAAACCCTTAGGCTTTTAAATTTTTTTTAACCTTGGGGAAAAAAGGGAAATTTTTTTCCCCCTTTTTTAAAAAACCACACTCGCCCATTCTGCTCGTACTGAACACGTCCAAAACTGAGTACAAAATCGTGACAGAGATGATCAAAAGAGCAGGATCAGTATACGACACACGTACATAGCTGCGTGCCTTTACTTTAAAAATTGTTAAAGTACATCATAGTCGTTAATGTCGTTAGATATGTGCCCCTTACATGGTAGCATTAATTATTGTGTATGAAATACCTAAATGATGTAAGCTAAAGTCGAAGTTTTATAAAAATGGGGAAGAGGCCGCGCGCGATTGTCGCTCCCTCATTGGGAAATAATCTTTTTTTACAGTCGTAGTATTTTTCCTAGTAACCGTACGGGGTTCAGATTTATGACAAATGTACATTTAACTAAAAAGACAAATTTTTTGTAAAAAAACTAGAGATATTTATGTGTAATTTGTTCTACTCCGGTATACTGCGCATACGGTTTTAACAGCCGCACTACGCTGAAAAAATAGAAAAAATAAAACTAGTTTTTTTTTTCTAATAGAGGGAAACATGTAAATAAATTTCGGTCTCGTGCCCATCTGTGGTCGACTTTTGCGATGGGTCTGGGCCCCGATAAGCTTATTTCCCTTATTCATATCTTTTTGACAACTAACTATAAAATAAAATTTATGATTAAGGTATTTTTGGAATTAGACATCAATAAAATGATCGGATAATTATTATTTGGATGTTTTCAACGATTTGGCACTCGTTACCGCCGCAGACAAAAACTTCTTTTATTTAATTAAAAAAAAAATAAATTTTGGACGGTTTTTTTTTGATAAAAAATGTTTTCCAGGTAACGCCCAAGTTTTATTAATTTATGCGATCAGAAATTACAAATTCTTAATTCGGGGGATTATGCTATTATTAAATTTTGGTTCATGCGTTTGAATCAAAATTTAGCTTTGATTCAAGGGATTCGCATTAATTCTCGCATAAAGGGTTAATATATAAATTCAAGAGTTTAAAAAAATAGCATAAAAAAAATTTTAAAAACCAACACGCAATGGAAGCTAGTGGTGTGGTCGTGTAACGAAGCTACGTACTTTGCTGGGTAAAAATATAGTACCGATATAATTTAATTGTTTGTGAAATATTCGGCAATACTCATTAAGTCAATGATCAATTGCCCGTGGGGCAAGGTGTGTTAGCATAATGCAGGTCCATAAAAAAGGCCCCCTATCTTCATCCCTTTTAAATTTTTAGCCCTCTAAGGCTTGTCCAGGTTTTTTAATAAAAAATAATTTTTGATTATTTCACTTGGCCTTGGTGTAATCGTTTGTGATTCTGACGCCAAGCCCGGTGGTGGCTCGTTTTCCTTTCAGGACAAAAAATTGGTGATGGCACGAGTATTTTTTCTGTGCAGGATGTGATTTATCTAAATTTATGTATGTTTTTCAAAATCATAAGTAGTTTAGAGTAGTTTGGTCTAACCTTTTAAGGATCAGGCGGCTGAGTGGGGAAAGTGACAGGTTAAATTTTTTTAAATTGGAATCAACACATTCGTATTTCTTTGTTTAATACTTCGAAATAAAAACTATTACGGTGATTTCAGTTCATTTGTATATAAAAATATGGTTGTTTTCACATCAAATTTTCCCTAGTCTCAAAATTTTGGTTCCTTTTTTTAGTGGGGTTTTTTAAATTATGGGCCCCTATGGGGGCGGGCCGGGGGGGGCCAAAATTGGGCCCAAATTAATTAAAATTTAAAAAAAAAAAAATATTATTTTTTAATATTAAAATCTTTAAAACCAATTTCATTTTTACTTTGTCATAGGAAATTAAAATGTTTGATTTTTTAATTATTCTTTTGGCAGTTTAACCAAGGGTTTATAAAATTTGGGGTTTTTAAAAACCGGTAAGGTATGGGCGGCTTAGCTCTGATCATGATTGGTACTTAAAAAATATCTGTTAGGTGTAGAGATAACTGAAGGGGGGAAAAAAAAATTTTTTATTTTTATAATTTTTTTAAAAACTAAATTCGTTTTTTTTATTTTTTAAATAACCACGGTTCTTTGAAACATTCACAAAACAATTTCAGTGATGCTTTAAATGAATGAATGGTGCCTGTAAAATGAAGGGGTTAAAGGCAAAAAAAAAAAGTTTAAAAAATTTATCGTATTTTTTTTTTTCCCCCGGGAAAAAAAGTGATCATTTTCAGTGTATCATAAAAATAATAATTTAAAGTTTTTTTTCCTCATTACAAAACCCCCAAACCCAAAAGACATTATTTTTTTGCGTATTTAATTTATAGGTCGAAATTTTGGACAATGTGTAAATAATATAAAAAATAGCTTTTGCGCTTTAAATAGAAAAACAAAATGCAAAAATTCAATTTGGCCCCCCCCAAAAAAACAATAGTTTTGTGTTAATAATCGAGATAGGTTCGTAAAATTTTATGGGTTTATAAATCCTTTATAATATTAATAAAAGTTACCAAAAATAAAAAATTTCTAATATTTATTTACCCTTTTGTAAAAACCCCCCAAATTTGTTTCTACGTTTACAAACCTTTAAAAAATAAAAAAATCTAAAAAAGTTAGGTCGAGATTAGCCGGCCAATCTCTAAACTAACCAGAAGAACTTGATATTTTAAAAAGGGAATGTATTTAAATGGTGTAGATGTTTTACAATTTGTTGCAGAATTTAAAATATTAATTTTTTAGTGTTAGTTAAAAAGCCAATTGTGTGAAATGGTTCAAATTTTTATTTAAAATTTTTTACAGTGCAATTTGATTGAAACTGTGACTTAAAAATGGGCCGCAATGCGAGGCTGTTGCGTTGGGGTACAAAACCCAGCATTTTTTTTTTTTTTTCAAAAGAAAAAAATATTCGCGGTAACTGAGGGTTAAAATATTTCCCGTCCTTTTTTCAAATTTTTTTTTTTTTTGTAATATTATTTAAAATTCCCCAAATTTTTTTTAAAATTAATGATTACTTGACTTACCGGGAATATGTTTAGTTAAATCAGATTAAAAAGGGCTAACCTAATATCGGATTTGACAGAAATCACCGTTTCTCTACAGAAACTGCCCTAGTATGTAATTATTATTTTTATTAATCAGTCCATTTAGATTTTTTTTTTCCTTTTGATTTATTGTTTTAATCTATAAATCAATATCCCTAGTGTCTATTACTATTATGAACTTAAATAGCAAATACTTTGTTTTATGTACCATAAATAATTTTATTCATTTAAGGTTTATTGACCTTACATAGACACCACTGTTATATATTCATTAAAATATAAACAGTTACATTTTGCGAGATAATCACTCTAAATACTTTATGTAAATCTACGGCTTAATTCTATTCAATTAGTATTTACTTATCTCGGTCCTATTAGAATGTTTTATTAGGTGGGGGTTGATCAATGTTGTTGATAAATATGTTGATTCGGTACTACGGGCA